GCTAACCTTATATTTCTTTTTTTTTTATAACAGTTTGTGTTTGTTCTTTAGCGGTATGACAATATCTATATTATTTAAGGAAATGTAGAAATAAAAGTCAAATTTAAACTTTATTTTCAGGTACATGGAATGAGAGTGTCAGGTGAATATCTTCGATGGGATACTGAAGATCGTAAGAACAAAGACGACGCCTGGGGCTACCATGCGTACACAGGAAGTGGTATCGTCATTGAATACTGCTACTATCAACCAGAATAGACATGTCACTATTAATGGGGGCGTCGCAAGGGGGTGGGGGGGGGGGGGGGGGGGTATGCATCGGTGTGGCTTAGCGTGAGTCCACTCGAAAAACGGGGGTGGGAGGGGGGTGGGGGTGGGGGTGGCACTAGAACGATTGGGGGGAGGGTGGGGGAGGGGAAACGGTCACAGGGGCACTCGAAAATTGAAATGCGAATTTAGAAGGCTGTTGATTAGGGGGTGAAAAGAGAGTTGTTTTGGTGTATATAAATTTCAGTCCAGGCCAGGGTTGTGTTATGAATTTGGTTAGTGCCCGAATTTTTACCTTGGATCAGCTGCCCCGTGAGCAGTGGCGTAGACAGGTTCGTACACCTGGGGGGATGACTCAGGGGCGGATCTAGCTTTTTGCTAAGGGGGGGGGGGTGACCAATAATGACGATGCGGAGCATCGTCCACGAGCCGCGAAGCGGCGAGCCGATTTTTTTGGGGGGGGTGTTTATTTGACCCCGTAAGTGATGTTTTCCTGGCATCTATTAACACAATGGAGACCTAAAAAGCAGTGCATGATAACGTCTTTTTAAATCAAGTAACGGTTAAATACACAGTTATATCCAGAGTTATCATGTGTTTGGTTAAGTTACCAGATGAGTTGAATATCTTCTCACAATATTTGCACTTGAAAGGGTTTCTCTCCAGCGTGCGTTCTTTTTCTTTTTCTTTTTTTTTTTTTTTTCTTCTTTTTTTCCCCTTTTTTTTTTGTTTGTTTTTTGGGCCGCCCAAGGGGGGGTTTAAACCCCCTAACCCCCCCCCCCCCGTAGATCCGCGCCTGTTTAATCTTGTGGTTATCTTGTGGTTTCCAAACCACAAGATAACCACAAAATACTTGTAAGATTTTCTTTTTTTTACCGTCTGAATTGGCTTTCACCGTGTGAATGCGGCTAATAACAATAAACACAATTACAATAATGATGAGGATTATATTATCATCATCATCATTATTATTATTATTAATATTATAATTGTTATCATTATTATTATTACTATTATTTTCATCATTATGACTTATTAAGTAAGCAAATACCATTCCCAAAACGGGGGGGGGGGATGATTGTACATGCCATCCCCCCCCCCCCACCTTGTGAGGTGGGGGGATGCATCCCCTCCCCCCCCCCCCCCCCCCCCCCCCCCCCCCCCCCCCCCCCCCCCCCGTTGTCTACGCCCCTGCCCGTGAGCATGTGTTTAGAACTACTTCAGAGAAAAGAATGAAAACATAACCCCATCAAATTTCCACCGACGCCCCTATTGATCGATCATGTAGATAAAAGTTGGGCAGTTTATATATACGGACGTAAATTATGTAGCCCAAGATATTCTGAAACGCAACGGGATACATTGTTGTAAAACAAATGAAACAAAGATGTCTTGTTTTAAATTGGTTTGTGTTTTGGTAAATGAACAGAAAATTGAATTGTAAAGGAATATAAATGCACCTATATGCATTTTCCCACCTAATATTGTACTCATTACATAGGAATGCTCCGAGTAGATTTATAGACTTGATCTTATCATTTTTTTTTCTCCATTTATCCCTTATTTTCTTTAAAAAAAAAATCTTTCGGGAGATGTCTTACTATCCCACGATACATGTCACCTGTCATTATATTTCAAATAAAATATGGAAACTCTTCCACCAACTGCCCAATATATGTCTCCAATAGCAGTTAGTTATGTCTCCCCTCCATTTAAATCGAGTTTGATATTATGTCAGTAGCGAAAAGTCCCCTCCCTCTATCTCTCTTGCATGTTCACTACCCCCTTCTCTTCCAAATCCTTCAAATTTTCTGCCCTTCCCTCCCCTCTCTCCATCTCTCAATTCTTTCTATTATATACCTCCTCTCACCAATTCTTCCTATTCTCTTCCCCCCCCCCCTCCCTCTCTCTCTCTCTCTCTCTCTCTCTCCCTCCCTCTCTCTCTCTCGTACCCCTCTTTCCCGTTCTTCGTCTTCTTTTTCCCCCTCCTCCTCCCCCTTCCTTCTCCTCCTCTCACCAATTTTTCCTATTCTCTACCCCCCCCCCTCTCTCTCTCTCTCTGCCTCAGTCACCCATCGCCTTATCTGCAGACAGACTCTAATTTGGCACTTTATCACATTACCTGAAGCTGTGAGCAGAGCCTAGCTCCGTCAATCACTGTGTGTGTCAATGCTGTAGTATGCCATCAGTAGTCTCACATTGCAGACACTGTTACGCACAATGACTGGTTTCATTTCACTCAAATTGTGAGAAATATGATTGCACATGAAATTGAATGGTATGAAACTTGTAATTATTGGTTGAATCAATGAAACTGGCAAAAAATGGTTACATCAATCAGCCTTGTGCAAAAATCATGGAAAATGAATGCTTCTGGAAAACTTGTTGGGCTAAACACTTCAATTGAATGCACACATTTATCATAGACACAACTTCATATATTACAAATTCTAACATGATAGAAAATACGAACTTATTGTCAATAATCATACAATCAATATGATGGTCAGCATATCACATTTTGTAATAGATGTATTTACATATCACCGAGTATAGATTAATATGATGTACACGAAACATACTGATCAACTACATATTTTTTTAATGAAAATGTATGGTACACATATAATCAGGGGGATTCTGCTCTCATTTTGAAGAAAAGCAGATATCATGATCAAAATTATTTTGATCACATCATGTTCATGTAATAATGGCATCTGTCAAGACCCATGCGTAACTTTTTGATAACTATCAATATTAACTATACCTCCACAATGGAGGAGGATAACAAGCGTCCCTTGAGAAGTGAAACTATAAACCCATGCCTTGACCACATAAACTGCAGGGGGAATGGTACTGGTATAATTACAAGTATATTCTATCAGTAATGAGAAGGAGGGGAGGTGAGGGGGTGTAGCCTTCATAATGCTACAACCATTAAACACTTCCAAACTGACTCCAAAACCTTGAGAACATAAACTGCATGGGGGGGGGGGTTCATTTTAGAAAAAAGGGATGTTGCCTTCATAAGACATCGGTCACACCGCCAAACCAACTCCATACCGACCCCACACCAAGCGCTTCTTGGCCATTCTGGGTAACATCATTTTTTTTGTTCGGTTTGGTGTCGGTCTCATTGGTTCAAATGGGGTATAATCAATGTATCACTAACATGATAAGTTCACTGATAAACCAGATAAATGAATCTGAGCTGATAGAATGGAATTGCAAAATCTAATTGTATGTATATCACAGAAAAAGGTTACACTAAACTAAAAACTACGTCCCCTATACGGTTATATGAGTTCCTTTTTTGCTAGGATCCATGTAGACTTTGATGGGAGGGAGGGGCTTAATCTTCCGCCCCGCCCATCCTCCTTTCCTCTGCCATAGACCGCTGCTTGGTCGTCTTCCAAACCAGCGACTCCTACCAGCCTTGCCTGAAACATAAACAAATGGGAGAATGTGCAGTGAGTTAAATACAACATAGAGACAATAAATAAAAGGGACTAAACCATTGATTACCAGAATGAATCACCAAATGCTATAAAATAAGATGACATGGAATAACATTTGAAAGCTTAAATGATTATAGACAAAAGAAGGTTACCTTGTACACAGGGGACTATGCGACACGTGCACGACAGGTGCGCTTTATCTATCAGGTCAAATAGATACGGTATAATAATTTACCAAATACATCAATTAGTAGGCGGTTTCTCGGCAAGATTTGTATCATCACGAATTAGTCAAAACATATTCTTTCACATGATTGGTAATAAGAGTTTCCGTTTCATTTGTTGAGAGGGGGGCGTTTCCAAAACTGGTCTTTACCTTTAAAGACTTCACTTTGGAATGCCTGCATTCATAAAAAGTTCAATTCATGCAGAGTGTTAATTTGTGCCCCTACAGTTAATTTGTTAGGATTTATTAGTCAACCGATAAATATCTTGCTTAATGACAGACATGCTTAACTTTATGTCTCACACATGAATTGTTTCCCCAATGAACAGTTCATAGAGAAGCTTATGCACTTGTCATTTGTAAGACGCACCTCTTGACCCCCGGGAATGGTGCGTCATTGTACCGATGTGAGTCGTACATTTTGATACCATGACGCACCTTCCGTCACAGAAAGTGACACACCATTACATTCCATCGACGCACATTTGAGTCAAACATATGACACACCATTTCATGAAAATGACTAGCCAATGACGCACATTTGAGAAACACTTCTGCTTGGAGAAAGTGACGGTCCCATTGACACACCAAATGACGCAACGTGGTAAAGTGACTTACTATGACGCACATATGGGTCAGTATTGTGACGGACATTTTGCGGCCATGACGGTACTGTGCGTCGCGATTTTGGGGAACATGACGCAACCATGACGCACCATCCCCGGGGGTCAAAAGGTGCGTCTTACAAATGACACCTGCATTATATGAATATCAAGATAATTAAACACAGTGGGCATTCCTGAAGGATAGCATGTATCACAGAGGAAAATCGATCTGTCCAGGGAAACAGGTGATCTTCACCTTCATGAGCATACATACATGTATGTTATTCTCTCATAACCTTGAAAGCTAATTCTCGCTACCCTAAATAGGTACGAAAATCTCGAAATTTGCGAGACGAGGTAATTTTCACTCTCTCGGGTCGTCACTACAACTTCCGGTATAGAGTCCCATCCCGCTGGCGCTAGCGCCTGTGTTCGCTGTGCAGAGTTTTCACGCACGCTAAAATCAGGGTTCTTACGCTTGGAATCATGAGCCCAGCACTGTGCAGCCTCACAAAAGAAAACCATCGTCACTGATGTCAAAAGACGCAAAAAACAACGAATGAAATGTTCAAATAAACGTTGAAATATTTGCGAGAAAAAAACAAGACCGAGCAGACGACATATTCGGTGCATACACGTTGTGTGGCGACGGCGTTTTACGTTTGCGCTATCGCGCCTAGTAATATAGCGCCTGCACAGGAAGCTGTAATGTCGAAAAGCTATCCCATAATGCAATGCGCGTTTTCAGGATTTTCCCCGGATCTCGGCAGAATCGCTATTTGGGGTAGCGAGAATTGAAGCAGACTGATTATAAATTTGGTTTCGGGCCAACTAGTATCACCAAGAAAAAATGTATCTTCACCAAAACTGTGACTTTAACCAACATAGAGTACCGGTATAACCTTTAATGAGTAGCTTGGGTCTGTGTATGGGTGTATGTATATGCTTGTCTTTGTTTTTTTTCACCTGATTTTATATTACATAGCACCGGTCGGTGTTCACTGGATGCACTGAGGCGCTGCCTCGGCCAGGTCAAGTGAAGTGGGATTAGTCGGCTGAGCCCATTGTTCTGCCTGTGCAGCGTAACGCAATAGCCGGTGAATGATGACGGGTGCTATGGTTTAGTTTGTCTTAGTTTATTATCTGATTTTTGTTACACAATTTTACTTGTTTATTGTACAGGGAACCCCACTTACAAGCTTAAGCTTCTCTCGGGTTCCCTAACCTACACATGTCCAACATGTTTTGTATAATGTCCTTCAAACATTGTTTGTATTTCTGAATGTTGTTTTAAAAAAATGGTTGAACCAATAAATGAAATGAAATGAAACGAATGCTTCAAAGAATGATAATTCTTGTAAACACCTCACCTATAACCATCCTGTTATGTTGGTCCCCTGACGCCCTACCAACGGTTGCCACGCATCTCTCGTTGACACTGATCTGTAGCTTCGATGGCAGCTGAAGGATGACCTGACCTCCGACCTTACGTAGGATCTGAGCTGACGTTCCTCCGGACCTGACCCTGATGGCGCCCTCTCCAGGGTAGATCTCTACGCAGTGCACCAAGGATCCGATGGGGAGGGCTCCTAGAGGGTAAGCATCGCCCTCGTTGGCAACCACTGGTCATAACAACGAAAGCGAGAAAGGTGAATGGGATGAAATATGATGCAAGAATGCACAATGATTGTGATGACAAAACATTTGCTATGGTGACATAGGCTCTGGGATTGTTTATTCAAAGATACAGGGTTATTATTAAGGCTGCAGCTGTGTTTCAGGTTAGGATTATGTCAAGTAAATTCTTTGGTCTGGGGTAACTGGTAAGGACTTTATCATACATTTCACTGAGACGCTCTTTGAGCATCTACCCAAGACCTATTTATTTCTGTATTTTTTGCGTAAATTGGGTAAAAGAAGTACATACAAATAAAAAAACATGATGATGATTGACAGGGAATACAGCATATACACATTAAAACTATTATAAAAAATTGTGTGATATGTTAATATCATTTGTAATCCAAAAATGCAAATCATTACATAATATCATATAGCATGACAGGTTGAATTGGATAGAGGCGTGTGGATGGTATATGACCCACCTGTCATCCTGCCTATGTGTCCTGAGGTCCTGATGATATCCCCTGGCTCCATGTTAGCTGAGGCAATAATGTACCTCTTCTTGTTCCCTCCAGCTACAATGGCAATGTTAGCTGTCCTGTTCGGGTCATACCTGATCAGTGAGAAAAATACACAGAAACAGATAGTAAATCATGTGTGTGTGACGTAATTGGGTTTTTACATATTGTTTTGCATTATTTAAGCCTGGGCCTAACATTTAACATCACCGTCTGAAGACGCGGCTCAGTCTCAAAACCGAGTCCGCCTGAGTCAGTTTGTAGGAGAAGACAGAGAGTGGACCAAGTGAACGTACCACTAGACCAAACTCACATCTTCCCTTGAGCCTTGAATGAGTACTCTCCCAAGATAGACTAGGACACTGTCCTGGAGAGGGCAGTGCTGTGTACAGTGGTCTTTGCCATTCCTGTGTAGCTATATACAGGTGCATTGGTCAGGTGTGCCTCTCATTATAGCATCTAGAGGGTAAGGGGTCATCATCATTTGTCTAATGATGGGTAAGGTAAGGCTGCATCCTTAAATGTCGTCACTGTACCTGAAGTTTCTGATTTTGGTAGGAGGGTCTTTCTTATGCTTATTATGGTTTGTGGAGAATTTTTTCCATAAATAGATGGTTTGTTTTATTGAAAATCATCTCACAGCCCGAAGGCTGAATTGTGTGACTTTTTTACAATTTGAGAAAAACAATAAAATACAATAAATACATGTGAAATCATAGTGAGGGACTTGGCTATGAAAAGCTCCAAAGAGAGCTCTGGTAAATTGAAAAGTAGCTCTCTGGTAAAATAATATGTTATAATAATGTTGTAATGTAATGACTTTGTGAATAGGTTATTACCTGCATTATGCTGCATTATAGTAGAGCGCTTAGAGACTTCTGATAAAGCAAGTGTTAGGCGCTATATAAGCGAATATAATTATAATAATTATTGTTACCTTGCACAGTGATGGTCTCAGCCTGAGCTGCTAGTTACACTTTATACACAATATAACAAAATATATCAAAAAGAAATAACATTAATAATAATATGCATAAAAATTTGACTTTTACAACACCAACGCATAAAATAGTTTCATGAAACCGTCATAACTACAAGTTCATCAACATCCCATTGAAACGTGTGTTAAACTTAGTACACACATTTCAATGGGATGTCGGTGAACTTGTACTTATGACAGTTTTGTGAGATGCTGCCCTGCATAGTATGTTTCTTGCACTGTACCTGACTGCTAGCACCTTCTCCTCCATAGGAGGGCCTTCAACCGGTCCAACTCGTTTGAAGTCCACCATACGATAGTTTCGCTTAGCACCTCCTCCTCTTCTACCAGATACTACCCTTCCTGTTCATATAGGGAGGGAGGGAGGAAAGAAATGTGTGTGAAAAAATGTATGGCTTTCATAAACACACATTCCGCTTTCACACATTGGCCAGCGTTATTCCTGAATTTCATTTCATTGTAAGCTCACGTGAAATATATTTTTCCTTTTGCTGCCTACTGGACTTCCTTCTTAATGCAGACATCCGTTTTTGCATTATTTTTTCAACTACTTTTTAGATAGTTCTATGAGGGTACCTTGGGTACGAGCTAGTTGTCCTGTGATACTGATAGGGTAATTTTTCTTGGAGTTAATTGTCCTGTCTGGGGAGTGATACTTCTTCATGTTCTATTTCATTCAATTTCAACGTCTTTATCATCCGTATCAACAGAAATTTGCTTTGCTTCCATGCACAATACAGACAAAAGAATGAATACAAGAAATGGCAATCAACATAAACAATTACTCATATGTGGCAAAAAGAATAGAGGAAAGGAAAAGATACAGAATGTGGTATACAAATAATTGTATCCTAGCTAACCTGTGTGATCTCTGCTGGTAATTCTTTTCTTCCCAAGCGGTCTCAATGTGTACTCTGGTGTCTTCTTCCATGGTTTAAATCTTTCTAGAGTTAGACTCGTGTGAAAATCTCTATGGCGTTCTTTTTCCACAACATTCAATGTCTGTACGGTAGATGCTCTAAAAACCAGAGAGGAAAATGACACCTTATGGCTCAATCCTAAGGTGGTGTGTTTGTGAGTAGACAGGAGGGATGAACATCGAGCAGGGAGAGCAGTTTGAACAGCCACATTTCTGGACAGGGTAAGGGTCCGGAAGACATTACAAAGTTGAAAGATGGAGTTTCTTGTGCTCATCATGTCTGGTAGTCGAGACTACAGAGTCCTCTCATTAACCTTCTTTACACAGCAGGACGCTAATCTGAAAAAAAGTATCAATAGAATAAAATTATCAGCATGTCAGGTTTCAAATATTATACATATTGTATCTCAAATCTGAACATGCTTACATTTACACCAGTGAAAAAAATACACGGGGGCTCAGGGCGAATTTGCCCCCGAAATGCCTAAAACAGCCCCCGAAAATCAGAAAAGAGCCCCAGTAAATTTGCATAGAGTTCAATGCAAAACAACTTTTAGAGTGTTATTTTTATGCAGGCAAGCTTGAAAAGTAGCCCCCGAAAAATAAATATTAATTTTTTCCCTGATTTACACATGGCTAAGTAAAATATGGTCACAGTTCTTAACTGGCGTGATAATGTGAATTACTTACATGAATTTAATGAGAATCTGAGATTACAGTCACTACCTACTGGCACGCACGCACGCACGCACGCACGCCATAAAACCTTTGAAAAAGTGAATATTATAATGTCTTTGTTTTTCCTTTAGGAAAAATTAACACAAAACAGGTAGACCTATAATAATTATAAGAAACATAGAGTAAATGAGGGGGTAATCGACCATCGACAGTTTTCAGCCGGTCTGTGGATGCATGGTAAAATCCCTTTAAAATACATAGATAGATAGATAGAAATGGTTTTTATTAAAAAGATCATCGCAGCCAATGGCTGAATTGCGATCCATTTCATAAGGTTATATACAATAAAATTGCAATTCAAATTGAAATAACACAACATATGACATAAATCAATAATCAAACATATAGACATTTCATAAAAATTCATTGATCAGATTCAAATTTTTGTTAAAAAAAGAAAGAGATAGGGAGAGGTGTAGGAGAGGGAGAGTTGGAGTGATGACAAAGAGAGAGAAGGAGAGAAAGAAAGAGAAGGGGGACGGGAGAGAAAGACGGAAAGAGAGAGAGGGTTGAAGAGAGGAAGAGACAGACAAAGGGTACCTTATCATTACAGATGAGGGGAGATGGCAAGAAATATTCAGTAATGCAGAAAATTGAGATAAAAACTATCAAAATTCATTCACATATTTCAATCATGGACTGTGAAATTCTAAAAATATTGGTATAACATTGCATAATAGCAAATCACATATCCCACACATACCATAACATGCCAGAGTAACTGAAGATCCACATTTGCAATGGAAAATATATCCTTAAATATCACATTTTAGCGATGTACCCTGTAATCGACGGTCCCGCTACCTGAATCTGAAAAATCAGGTATGTTACGCGTGTCTGTAAGGAATATGGGTACCATAAAATGAGCTTTATTTCAAGTATTTTTCAGATTTAGAGCCCGAATTTGTGTGAGTCGCACGCTCCAAAGTATCTCATCGCATGTATTAAATCAATGCAGCCGGACACCGCAGCGCACACACGATATCTCTGTCTTTTTCAGATTCCAATTTCCGATCACTGCAGAGATAGTTTTCGGCATGGCGCAGGGTGGGATACCTGCTCCGCCCGCTAATGCTGTAGATCAGCGGGGAAACGCACGGCGCGCGCACGCGCTTCCTATTGACTTTGTACATGCCACCGAAAACTGTCTCGCTAGTCCGATAACTGTTTCCGAAACAGTGAAAATTAAAATGAATATTGTCATGGCAATTCATGATTTTTTTTTCTGGGATTATTTTTTCTGTTTAAATAATAATATTTGCTTCATGATTTAAACAAGAAATGATATTAAAAAGGAAGTAAAGAGTCCTAGTAAAAATAGGATTTTGACTAAGTGGTCGCAAACCCCCTCCTTTACTGTAGATTTGCTGTAGGGTTATTTTCTTACACAGAATCCATTTTTCTCATCATCACCAGCGGGCGGTTCGGTACCCGCAGAGCGCCAACGCAAAAAACGTCAGCGAAATGGCAAATGATCGTTATTTTTAAGGACGCATTTTGTCCACGTTTACGAGGATATCCTCGTGTATGATGAGGACGATCCTCATTCTCGGCCTCGGACCAGTGGCTGTGCCCCTACTGCTAATCCTAACCCTAAAACTGCAAAAACTGACCATTTTTGCAGCTGGTCGGAGTTGGCCCGACTCCTAATGCAGCTATGTGTGCCTGGGCCCACTCCAGCAAAGCATAGAGAGTCCATGCTAATGCGTATGGACCTCTAGCACTGCATGTATGTGGTATGCACGGGGTGGATTTTTTTTAGTATTAAGATCATAAAATGTAAGACAAATACAACATAACATAGGTTATGTTATATTTCTCTTACATTTTACAGTATTTAAGATTATTAAATTATTTTTATAATAGAAAAAAAGAATTCAAAACTAACTTTTAAAGCCCTTTTTCCTCCTTCTTTTACAGAGACGGCAGCATGATTCCCTCCTCGATTGCGATGACATCAAAACTGCGCACTTTACGCACACCATACACTGACTTCTACATGCGCTACAATTCGCCACAAAGACAGCTCGCCCCTGAACAAATCGACACAATACCCTCCCTGGATATCTCGCCACAATACCCTGGACAACTCGACCGTAGCAAGTTGTGCAGGGTATTGTTGCGAGATGTCCAGGGTATTGTGTCGAGCTGTCTTGGGGCGGATTGTTTTTGTGGCGAGTTGTCTAGGCCCCGGTGAAAACATACGTGACTCGTGACCCGTGGCTCTTGCGCAACATCTGACGGGTAGTTTTCTTATCTCGCAGACGTTTTCATTTATTGCTTTATCGCAGGTTTAAAGCACCTCTAGGCCTCTTATTCCGTACAAATTTCTAGATAGACTTTCGAAATGCTTATTATTAGTATCATTATTAATATTATTATTATTAAGACCCCAAAATTGCTAAATTGAATATTATACTTTGGAATTATATAGTAATGCTCCGCCACCTCTGTCGGCTAATAGTTGGGCTGAAATGTATACCAAACTCTAAAAACGCTCGTACGCAATAGCCTACCGCTGAGCTGTGTACACAACCGATCGCGTCCATATCAACATGCATATATTCGGACGTAAGCGGTCGCGAACGGTCTTTAAAAACAAAGGTCATAAAATCCGAAAATGGTGCACGTTAGCTGAATTGCGGATGGGCTATAAGCAAACAAGTAGGCCAGATGTCTAGAAACCAAGGAAATTTACACTAACGAAACTTGTAAGTTCCATTCTTTATTTATTTGTGATGGGTTATAATCCCATTTAATTAATTAGTAGGACATTTGAAAGTGTCATACCGCAGGCTTTCAAATGTGTCGCGTTAATGTGCTGGTGCCAGTGTTGCCTGTTTTACTACACAGTCAGGATAGTGATGCTCCTATGTGTGCCTGGGCCTAGCTCCCCAACCCCCCAAAAATAGATAGAATTGGGACATGCACAAACACAGATGCTAGCGTATGGGACAATATTAAATAGTTTGCTTTAATTTCACCAGTCATCTTAGATGTTCACGCACTGATATCACACACGGAAATCATTCTAATAATTATACATGATTAAGCCGATATTGAAAAGCAACTTACGGGATGAATTGATAAATTGAGACTCCTCAAAAAACGAGCCTAGAATCTACATCACAGCCCCCGTGTCGAGTGTCTCAACTGTTAGCGTGTATTTGTACAACATTTCCAGCATCTGAAGTTAGCCAATTGAGCTCTGTGTCAATCTGCGGACGTTGCCAATTTGAATGAATCTCACCTCACTGTAGAATGGTTATCCGTACACTGCTGGAAAGCATAGAGAAAGCCTTGTTTGTTTGTTTGTTTGTTTGTTTGTTGTTGTTTTTTTGTTTTTTTTGGGGGGGGGTGGTTTTTTAATAGATTATTATCATTATTTCAATGTCTTCAACTTCAAGATAACAACTCTTCAAGCTGACTGAATTATGTTTAAGATGTCGGAAGCTTGGCGACTGATAAAAACATCTATCAATATATATATATATACACTGTTGCTCATAACGGTGGAATATTTTTTTTTATCCCAATTTATGGAATTATTTTAAAAATAATTTAAAAATACTAGATCTAGATAATAGTATACAGTCTCAGATTTTATTGAATAATAATTTGCCAATATGTGTTTTGCGTGACTGCTAAAGCATGTTTATTATGCTACTATGTTTATCAACTAGGGGACCTATGCCCTTAAGTCATAAATGACAGTAATGAGGATTAATGCCTCACAAAAGGGCACTAATATAGCACATCGACACGGTGTTGATCCTGGAGCCTCACAGTTACGAGGCCATTGCTTTGTCACTGAACCATGACTGTACGTAGCGGGGGCTAGGGTAGGGGGCAGTTTCCATAAATTAAAAAAATAAACCGAAAATGCAATAAATATTCAATAATTTATTGCATTTTACCACGGTCCCCAACATTAAAAAATCCTCTGGACGGCCATGCATTATGGCTCAATGCATGGGCACACAGAAGATTTTTTTTATGTTGGGCACCGGGGTAGAATGCAATAAATTATTGAAAATTTATTGCATTTTCTGTTTTTTTTTTAATTTATGGAAACTGCCCCCTACCCTAGCCCCTGCTACGTACAGTCATGGTTCAGTGACAAAGCAATGGCCTCGTAACTGTGAGGCCCCAGGATCAACACCGTGTCGATGTGCTATATTAGTGCCCTTTTGTGAGGCATTAATCCTCATTACTGTCATTTATGACTTAAGGGCATAGGTCCCCTAGTTGATAAACATAGTAGCATAACAGACATGCTTTAGCAGTCACGCAAAACACATATTGGTAAATTCTTATTCAATAAAATCTGAGACTGTATACTATTATCTAGATCTAGTATTTTTAAATTATTTTTAAAATAATTCCATAAATTGGGATAAAAAAAATATTCCACCGTTATGAGCAACAGTGTATATATATCCAAAAAAAAAAAAAGATAAGATAATATATTTATTCGTAGGAGAACATGACAAAAAATATTACAATCATAATCATAATATGTCGACTTCAATGGAAGTGTATACATTAACAAAAAGTGACAAGAAAGGGGATAAAACTATTCATATTTGTCTTGCAATGTATCTTTGTATTTGATCAACATGTACATAAATTATTGTTTTCCCTCTCTGTCCATCTGTCCCCTATCTCCCCTCTCTCTCTCTCTCTCTCTCTCTCTCTTTCTCTTTCTCTTTCTCTTTCTCTTTCTCTCTTTCTCTCTTTCTTTCTCTCTCTCCTGCTTTCCCATCTCTCTTTCTTTTTAACTCAAATTTTTAAATTGAAATATTGTATAAGATTAATGGTATATAGTATATACACGCTCTTCAGCATTATGTAGATTGTAGTGTGACATCTTGAAATGTATACTTGCTTTTTTCCAGCAATTTACTCATGTGCAATTCAGTTACTTTTTTACTGTGATATCACTTGAAATGTATAATTGTCTTTACCATCAATGTTTTATTCATGCACAATTCAGTTACTTTTTTACTGTGATATCACTTGAAATGTATAATTGTCTTTACCATCAATGTTTTATTCATGCACAATTCAGTTACTTGTAACTGCGATACATGGAAATGAATCAATAAATACCATTTATCTATCTATCTATCTATCTATTCCTCTCAGAGGCTGCCGCAGTACTAACACTTAGTAAGAGTGCAGGTATAAGCTCCTCACTTTATATCCAGGGCCGAAGCCAGAGGTTGATGTTGGGGGGGGGGGGGGGCACATACTTGATCGACGTCTTGGGGAGGGATCTAAACAAGTTTAACCGATCTTGGAAATGCTGGGGCACGTTTCTAGAAAGTTGAGTTTCTGCCCTTTAATATGACACCTCAGTCAGAAAAAATGAGCTAGAAATGACAAAGTTCTGTATGTTTTAAGTAGTGCTTGCAATCATAATTTTATCAAACGAGTTCGTTTTCTGCTGCCTGCCGTAGCAACAAGCAGAATTAACAAACGACTTAACTCTGTTTCGTTGACAATTAATCAGCCGTAGACGAAAGACTTCATGCATGGCTGATTGTCAACGAAACGGAGTTAAGTCTTTTGTCAATTCTGCTTGTTGCTTCGGCAGCCAGCCAGTGAAAACGAATTCTTTTGATAAAATTATGAAAATGCAAGCATGTACTACTTTAAACGAACAGAACTTTGTCATTCCTTGCTCTTTTTTCGTGATCGAGGTGTCATATGAAAGGGCAGAAACTCAACTTTCTAGAAATGTGATTTTCTCTTTGAAATTCAGATACCGTCCGCCAAATGACTTTTTGGTTTTCTCTCATAAAATTCATTTTAATCAATCATGCATGAAATATGCACTATATAAGTTGCATCAAACGAAAGAGGATGATCTAAGCTTTCCAAATATGTGTCATTTATTAATTATAAATGTGACTAAGTTATGATAAAACATCGATAATTCTCGGTTTCGTTTTTTCTAGGACGCACATAATTTATTAATATGATTTAGACCAGTTATTACGTTAAATTGGCAACGTCCGCAGATTGACACAAACCTAAATTTGCTAACTTCAGGCGCCGGACATATTTTTAAAGCTACTTCCACAACCAACTCATCACAGCCGTCCTTTTATCATGCCGGAGTCAAAAGTATCGACTGCATTAGCTGTTGCAAAAGCACTGTATAAAGATGAATTTACAAGGTGAGAGTCCTATTTTCATGTTTTGAAGTTGAGTTCTACTTTCTGAAAAAAACCTTCATTATCTTATCCCAATAGACGAGTTAATTGAGAAGACCATGCTGACCTGTAGTCCCACATGCAGACTTTAACCGTTTGCATAACTCCAGGGAAGGCTGTGCGCCAGGCCAGGCCACCGACGGAGCGGAGGAGCCGGAGTTTAGCCTGGCGAACGGCATGCATGCTGTTCCGTCTCATGGGATCAGAAGATTTTATAACATCTTTTATCGCATATGATGCACACCATGCACCATCATGTAGGAAAGCGCATCTTTCTTTCTTTTTTTTTTGGGGGGGGGGGGGGGGGGTGGGTCTAAAAATTATACAGGCAGCATGGGCAGGAGAGTTAATTTTGCATGTTTTGTTGAATAAATCGATGCATTCAGACATGAAACAACCACTGAACCAGCCAACTTAGGGTGCATTCAAGCGATTTTTTTTTTTAATGCTAGAATGACAAACGAATCACAAATCAAAAAGCCATTAAAAAAACATGGTTACTGCGGCGTTCAAGTGATTTTTCATCAACGCCGATTCTTGCTCATTTTAAGCCCAGCCACTGCTCATCACACTGTGCAGTTTGACCCAGGAAGTACAGGTCAACTTCGCAGCGTGCTTTCTGTCTGTGTTTATGGTCGACTGTCGGTCAAACCGGAACAGGCCACGATGATGACGTCATAGAATCATGATTGAGACCTCCGTTCGTTCAAGCGAATTTTAGCGACCGTGATTCTGATCAAGATACAAAACGCATCTTTTTCAGCGTTTCATGTTTGACTTTTTAAACACGTTTATTTTTACGAAGACAAAAACTCACTTGAACGCAATCTTTGAAAACTGTGATTCTAGGGTGAACAAGTGTCAATTGAATGCACCCCAAGCCAGAGATCCAGGGGTTGTTTCACGGCACTGTCCTATGACTTACTTGGCTAAGATTATGATGGGGAACCATGTGTTGTCCACCTAGACCTAGAACTAGTCGGTAGTCAGTCACTCCTTTAAACTTTAAAATTAAATATACAAGGATTTTCTTGAAGGTCTACAAATAATACTGTATGGACTAGGCCTATATTCTATTATTAGTAAACTACTTATATTATCAGTCTGTTTAATCTCTGTAATCATTTCTTAAAGGGATCATTCAACAATGTTAAATCTGAGATACACGGCCTTGCGTAATATCAGTGTCTGTGATATGGTGCAATATTGAAGCCCTAAAAAAAATTGTGCTTCAAAATGGTCAAGAAGTGCCTCAAAAAAATTAAAATCTTTGAGTGACCGGTTTTACCATACTCGTCTTCCCCAATAGACTGGACTGTTATGAAAACCGTTTGCCAAACGGTTTTCAAAATGTGTAATTCCAATCATAAATATCTTGAAAATCAGACAGGCAATCGGCTTTATAATTATCATTGCAGCATGAGTTAAATCCAGAATTTTGTTTCAGAATCTGAGACAAAGCTACCGGATCACTTCAAGTTGTATTCTTAACTAAAAGTAGAAAATCTCATCAAGATTTGAGAAAGAACAATGCCATTTCAATGAGATAAATTACCCTTTTTTCCTGAATTATGTTGTGACAAATCCCCCAGTCCCAAACTAAATGGTTGGAAATGCCTTAGATCTATTTTTTTTTAATCTGTTAATATCATGACTCTTGTTGCCCTTTTTTCAGAGAGTTTGTTCGAAATCTGGCCCTCTTTGGTGTAGGGGTGTGGCTGGCTAGGGAGTTCTCCAGTGTGGAAATCATGGCCCCACAACCTGTATAAAATCTCAGAAGATCAGAAGATAGTAAGTAAGTTTAAAATTAGAATATCTGATATCATTATTTCTTTGTTATTCTTGTCTTGTCTTTTATAATAAAAGGCTGCATTAAAGTGCTGGCACAGTAAAACACAATTTTACATATCAATGGATGCTGTTAA